TCCCGGGCTCTGATGCGTGGCTGTGGTTCCCCGCCAGTCCGCGTACGAGCGGCTGAGTCGGCGGATGCTGGACGTCTCCGGGGACCGGGGCGTGCTGAAGGATGTCCTCCGCCGGGGTTCTGGAGACCTGGTGACGCCCGACGCCTCGGTGCTAGGTACCGCCCGGGCTCGGGGTCCGTGTGACTGCGCTTTCCGCGGGGGCGCGGGGGGGGGTCCACAAAACAGGTAGCATTTTAGAGGGTTGGAAGTGCTTTGAGTTGGAGCTTTTAAGAGGACATCGAGCCCCGCCAAGGCGCCTCGGCGAAGCTCTGGAATCTCCAGGCACCCAAAACTCGTTCCTGTAGTTCAGGGAGTCGGGCAGCTTCAGCCCATCTAGTTCCGTGGCTTAAATAATTGGAAATTAAAGAGAGACTGCGGAGGCCTAGGCGTCTTTGGGTCCATTGTCTCACGTTCTTTCTTCTGTCTTAGTGAAATATTCTGGATATCTGGAGCACGTGGACAAGCCCTTCGATTCCAATTGCTTTAGGAAGACTCCTCAGCTAATGAAACTCGGAATGGGTAAATTCAGATTGGGAGTTGGGAAAGAAGGGGTCGTTGGGGGGGAGAATAAAGCCCAAGGCCTGAGGATTCAGACACGGTCCAGAGCACAGGTTTTTGCGTTGGTTCTCCTGAGCCTGGGTTTTGGTAAAGCAGTCCCGTTCTGTGTTCTCACCCACATTTCCCATTGAGACCTGGGTATCTGAGAGGTTGTCTAACTGAAAATCTCTGCCTGCTGATTGAACTACTGGGCTATCTTCTTTGCCCATTTATTAAGTAAAAAAAAAAATCTAGCCGGGCTCCGTGGCTCAGCCTGTCATCCCGCCCCTTTGGGAGGCTGAGGTGAGTGGATTGCCTGAGCCTGCGGGTTCGAGACCCGCCTGGGCAACTTGGCGAGACCTCATCTCTACAATAAATCAAAAAATTAGCCGGGCGTGGTAGTGCATGCCTGTAATTCCGGCTACTCGGAAGGCTGAGGCGGAAGGATCGCCGGAGCCCAGCGGGTCGAGGCTGCGGTGGCCGGGAGCGGCCACTGCACTCCAGTCTGGGCAACCGAGTGAGACTCCAACTCAAAAAAACAAAACAAAACAAAAATCTGTTGAACGGTTCCTGCGACGTGGCGAAAAGAGAGGATGTACTGGGAAGACAAGAATGTCGCTGCCCTTCAGGACAACATGCATGGTGGTGGAAATTGACCCGCCTTCAGGCCACCTGGCAGAATGGGACTTGAGCCTGGAAGGGGTAAGCCGTGTTGTGCTGTGTTTAATGAAGACACGATTCCTGCTGGCAGGTTTCGGGAAGGCTTCATGGAAGAGTGGGCATTTATAATAAAATGAGCCCTGAAGTTTGAGTAAGATTTTGGTCAGGGTAGAAGCTGGGCATAGGGTGAGGAGGAAGATATTGCAGGAAGAAGGAACTGTGTGATGGAGATGGAGAGGCCAGGATACTGCCAAGCCTGGAGAGCTGAGATTCGGGAGTGGTGGTGTGATGGTGAGTCTGAGTAGTGAGTTGGGACCACGATGCAGGAGGGTGGGACTTGGAAAAGCAAGACAGTGACAGCATTGAACAGGATTGGAGCAAGCGTCAGCCAAGTTCTTTGTCCCTTCTTCCAGATATCACACTCTGGGGCATGGAGCTGGGCCTTCTGAGCATGCGGAGAGGAGAGCTGGCCAGGTTTCTGTTCAAACCGACCTATGCCTATGGAGCGCTGGGCTGCCCTCCCCGGATTCCCCCAAATGCCACTGTCCTGTTCGAGATTGAGCTGCTTGACTTCCTGGACTCTGCCGAGTCAGACAAGTTTTGTGCCCTCTCAGCTGTAAGTTCCAGTGCACATGTCAGGACTTTATGGAGAGAAGTGGCCTGTGTCTTTGGTAATGCTTCTAGCTAGCCTACCCTGTGGATGATCATATGCCCCAGGTTCTGCCCTGTTGGTGGTACTGGTGGAGTCCCTCCACTCTGGTGCGGGTCTGTCTTAGCAGTTGCTCTCACGTGTGGTTAAATGTGCTGAGCCAAGGCAAGGCCATGGGTTTGTTAGGGGTTTGTGGTCTGGGCGGATCTTTCAGGAACCCTTTACCTAGTTCTCCCTACAAGACAGGGAACGTTGGTTTTTCACCATGGTTTGCTTTCCAGCAAGTCAGGCATTGTGAGGATGACTGTATAAAGCGATTGCCCAACCCAGGACACTTGAGAGTGAAGGGAGCTATTAACTGAATGGCATACCCAGGACATCAGGTTTCAACTAGGACAATCTAGGTCAGGTGCGGTGGTTCACGCCTATAATCCCATCATATTAGGAGGCTGAGGTGAGAGGATTGCTTGAGCCCACAGGTTACCAGCCTGGGCAACTTGGTGAGACCTCGTCTCTACAATAAATAAAAAAACTAGTCGGACGTGGTGGCACATGCCTGTGGTTCCAGCTACTTGGGAGGTAGAGGCGGAAGGGTCACCTGAGTCCAGCGGGTCAAGGCTGCAGTGGCCAGGAGCCTCACTGCACTCCAGCCTGGGTGACAGAGTAAGACTTCGACTAAAAAAAAATTAATTAAAAAAATAAAATAGAGCCGGGCTTGGTGGTTCAGCCTGTAATCCTGCGCCTTTGGGAGACTGAGGTGAGTGGATTGCCTGAGCCGCGGGTTCGAGACCCGCCTGGGCAGCGAGACCTCATCTCTACAAGAAATAAAAAAAAAATCAGCCAGGCGTGGTAGCGCATGCCTGTAATTCTGGCTACTTGGAAGGCTGAGGTGGAAGGATCGCCGGAGCCCAGCAGTTCGAGGCCGCGGTGGCCAGGAGCGGCCACTGCACTCCAGTCTGGGTGACAGAGTGAGACTCCAACTCAAAAAAAATAAAAAATAAAAAAATAAAATAAACTGGGACAATCCAAGGTAGACTGGGGTATGTAGTCACTGTCCTCATAACATATGTCTTGCCTTTGTAGCCTTTCATTTAACTTTTCCCATAGATAATGAGCTTCTAATCCTATCAGCAAAAGTACGCATGTTTTTATCATGCTGTCTCCCGCTGCCTGTGTATGTGGCCTTAGATGTCCGTCCCGGGTTTTATGTTTTCATACGTTGTCTCCCCAATTAAACTATCAGCATCCCAAGTAAGGGATCTCACATTTTTCATCTTTTCGTAGATTAGAAGTTCTTGTGGATGCCTGGGTCCCACCTCTAGCGTACTGAGTTAGGATCTCTGGGGGTGAGGCTAGGACCAAAGAGGCTCTGTGAGTGATTCTAACAGGCAGCCAGGGTAGAGCGTCTTGACCATAAAGACCACGAGGGCCCTGAGCAAACCGTGACCTGTTAAATGCTTGTTGGATTAATGGTGGTTGTGAGCCCTGATTTCTGTGCAGATTCCATCGTTTTCTAATCGATGGGCAACTGCTTCTTTGGGGAACATCTCTGGAGGATTAAAGCAGACTTCCCTCTGGCTCTGGTCTGTAGAGTGGGACAAGTTATAACACTGACATGCCGTGGCTTCTGTTGGGATTCAGAGATGACTCTGTGTACTTAAGGCAGCACACAAAAGCTCATCATTTCAAAGAGAAGTTAACAGCTGTAATAACACTTCTTTGTGACATTGTGGCTTTTGCTTTCCTTGCTGGTATTCTTTTCTTTGGACCTCAGGAGCAGCAAAACCGATTTCCCCTTCAGAAGGTCCTAAAGGTGGCAGCTACCGAACGGGAGTTTGGCAACTATCTTTTCCGCCAAAATCGTTTCTATGACGCCAAAGTGAGATATAAAAAGGTAAGAATTCTTTGAAAGTTAAGTTTCGATCCTGAAAACTTCCTTGCTTAAAAAACTGCTTTTCATAAGCAGCCATGAAGAAAAATCTCATTAAAAAAAAAGTCTCTGCTGGGCTCGGTGGCTCAGCCTGTAATCCCGCGCCTTTGGGAGGCTGAGGTGAGTAGATTGCCTGAGCCCGCGGGTTCGAGATCCGCCTGGGCAGGCGAGACCTCATCTCTACAATAAATCAAAAAATTAGCTGGGCGGTAGCGTGCGCCTGTAATTCCGGAGCCCAGCAGGTCGAGGCTGAGCGGCCACTGCACTCCAGTCTGGGCGACAGAGTGAGACTCCAACTCAAAAAAAAAAAAAAGTCTCAGCTGGGCACAGTGGCTCATGCCTATAATCCCAGTGCTTTGGGAGGCTGAGGCGAAGAGCTGGCCAGAGCCCAAGGGTTCGAGACCAGTCTGGGCAATATAGTGAGACTCCATCTCAATTCATTTTTAAAAAATTAAAAACTTAGCCAGAGCCGGCCTCAGTGGCTCAGCCTGTAATCTCGCGCTTTGGGAGGCTGAGGTGAGTGGATTGCCTGAGCCCGCGGGTTTGAGACCCACCTG